CACTATTTTTCTTTATTTTAAGACGACATGACGTCAAAACGACGTCGTGTGCGTTACTTTTCTTACTGGATCATCAAAGTATAGATCATCATAAAGGGATTGAATGTCATTGCAAGTTCTGAAATTATATGGTTACTCTGCCGCAAGGTGTCAAACACCTACAGGTGGAGACCAGTTACTGTACAACTTCCCGCCATTTCTATTCAGTTTAAGACGACATGACGTCAAAAACGACGACGTGTGCGTTACTTTTCTTACTAGAATATCAAAGTATGGATCATTATAAAGGGATTGAATGTCATTGTAAGTTGTATAATTATATTGTTACCCTGCTGCAAGGTGTTAAAACACCTATAAGTGGAGACGAGTTACGGTGCAACTTCCCGCCATTTTCTTTAGTTTTAGACGACATGACGTCAAAACGACGTCGTGTGCGTTACTTTTCTTCCTAGAATATCAAAGTATGGATCCTTGTAAATGAATTGAAAGTCATTGCAAGTTGTAAAATTATATAGTTACTCTGCTGCAAGGTGTTAAACACCTGAGAACGGAGACCAGCTACTGCCACAACTTCCCGCCATTTTCGTTGATTTAACACGACATGACGTCAAAACGACGTCGTGTGCGTTACTTTTCTGAATAGAATATCAAAGTATAGATCATTATAAAGGAATTGAAAGTCGTTGCAAGTTTTAAAATTATATGTTTACTCTGCTGCAAGGTGTTAAACACCTACAGGTGGAGACCAGCTACGGTACAACTTCCCGCCATTTTCGTTGATTTAACACGTCATGACGTCAAAAACGACGCCGTGTGCGTTACTTTTCTTTCCAGAATATCAAAGTATGGATCATTATAAAGGGATTGAAAGTCATTGTAAGTTGTAAAATTATATTGTTACCCTTCTGCAAGGTGTTAAACACCTATAAGTGGAGACGAGTTACGGTACAACTTCCCGCCATTTTCGTTGATTTAACACGACGTGACGTCAAAACGACGCCGTGTGCGTTACATTTCTTACTAGAATATCAGCGTATGGATCAATAAAAAGGGAATGAAAGTCATTGCAAGTTGTAAAATTATATAGTTACTCTGCTACAAGGTGTTTAACACCTGCGGGCGTAGACCAGCTACGGTACAGCTTCCCGCCATTTTTTTTAAATTTAAGACGACGTGACGTCAAAACAACGTCGTGTGCGTTACTTGTTTTACTAGAATATCAAAGTATGGATCATTATAAAGGGATTGAATGTCATTGTAAGTTGTAAAATTATATGGTTACTTTGTTGCAAGGTATTAATCACCTATAGGT